TATATAGCTTATAATATATAAAAATAATTTTCTAGGATTTTTAATTATTTTATTTACTATTTGATAATTATAATTCTATATTTCTGTATCTTATCTTATCAGCACCTTCTGTCCTAGGTTTTGTATATATCTTAGGGTTTTGTGCCTAACTAAGCTTGCTTAGTTAGCCTCCCTACTGTAACGGTTATACAAGCCATTAAGCTACAAAGTAAAAGATTAGGCTATAATTACTATATGAGTAATTATAAGTATACTACAGCTGCCTAAGAAGCCTTATAGCGCTATTATAAGTATAAATTGTAATATAATACTTCTTTTTTAAGGGCTTTTATCCTTAAAGCCTACTAAAGCTAGCTACTATAAGGGGAACTAAGCCCTATATAGTATAGCTATTAACCTTCTAAGGTATACCTTATAGTACCTTTTTATATTATATAGGCATTTTTATAAATAGCTATACTAAAAGAAAGGGAAATTAAACCCTTAACCTTTATACTACTTGCTAATAGTAATTATTATATAATAATTATATAAGCTATTAAGCTACAGGGCAAAAGATTAGGCCATAATTGCTATGTAAGTAATTACAGGTATGCTACAGCTGCCTAAGAAGCCTTACAGCGCTGTTACGGGCACGAATCGTAACACCTACGGCTTGAGCCAACGGGTAGGTAAAAATATCAAGGACATTGCATTCCGCACTGAACCATACCAGCTGTACTACGCCCGCGTTGTTGCGATACTAAGAACATCGAGTAGGTTTATAGCAAAAGAGGTCTAGAGACGAACAATTTACTGATATTCACAATTGTTAACATTAAAATGATAATTGCCTGAATGCCAGTAAGGTTACATGCTAAAGGTAATATCATTCATTCTCCATTAACTCATTTACCGCTTGCTTTCAATGCCTTTGTTGCCATTTCGCCTTCTTAGGCAACGTTGAGGGCAACGAGTATGTTGCCCGTAGGCGTTTATTGGTGCTCTTTACCTTGGTGCCCTGGGCACTGAAACCTCTTTTTACCTCTCAACCTTATCACACTCATTTCACCTAGATCTTTATATGTGGTTATATCTTCCTTTTATGAATCATCCTTGAATTTGTGCCGCCGCTTGGCCCATATATAGTGACGTGCTCTGCTTTCTGCCCAACAGATAGGTCGGAAGCCTTCCCGTCTTCGTCCATAGTGCTTTATGCGACTTTGAGAATTCAACAATTGCGAACCGGTTGTTCCTCCCGTCTATCAATCAGTCCGCAACCAACAAGCATTTTAGAGTACGTCTACCTTAGTACCCATTAACATTAGTAATGGCCTTCAGTGAAGGCAAGGGCCACTTACTGTTCTCTACGAAGCAGGTACCAAGATAATTCATATGTGCTTAGTGAATGTAATGCCACCTAATCTACTTTTGCGCAGGACGTATAGTTAAATTCTATATTAAGGCGCGAACCTTTTTTTACTCCAGAGTTTCAGCTCCTATATAAAATATGTTTTATCTTAATTAAAGTTTAGGTTAATTGTAAAATCTTACCTTGATCGAGTAAACCCTATAAGCACAGCACCGCATATAAAAAGGGAAGCCTGGGTCTGCCAATCCAGCAAAAGCTTTCCTTACCAATATGTCTCTTCACCATTTCGCATATCTCTCTAACGCCCGCGCGCAGCCCATGCTCACCATGGACTTATTTCCTCCTCTCGTCGGCAGGCAATTGGGGTTCTACTGTCGCTTTCTAGTCCCATGGACATGTGAGTACCATTAGTCCTGGCTCTCTCTCACAACAGCAGCTAAATTTTATCGCAGCAAACAAACCATGCCCCACCGCCATCACAGCCATCGGCCTGAACGACTTCCCGGACGAGGTCCTCATGCCTATCATTCACACTATCTATGAAGGGACTGATAACGAATCTCTGTTTGCCTTCTTTGCCCTACGCCAAGTCTCCCGACGACTTAGGCGATTGACTAAAGATGAAGCTTTTGACTCACACGTCTTCTCTGGCATAGACTGCTGTGACCAGTGTCTCGGCCCATCTGGGGTCTTGGCACGTAGAGAAAGTACATTCGACTCTCTGACAGGTATCGATTTGAGACCCCCCGTAGCTGATGTTCACATCACGCGCCTTACACTCTCCCCTGTGTCCTATATCGAGTCTCCCCTGGCTAGAGAAAAGCACTGCTTCGGCAACAAGGCCAAGAAGAGGGGTATCTGTTTAATAGGGTTGGACGACTTTGTCAGAAAAGGCCAGGCCTGCTCTACCTGTCAGAAAGGGCTGGATGTGAGAAAGAGAAACGGCGCCTCCTTGAAATGCAAGTTCGCGCCTAGACACAATTATGACTGGAAGTTCTGCGAAGCATGTCGATTCTCTCACCCGTCGTCATGCTTTTCAGCCGGCCAAGACGAATGTCTTGCCAGGACAGGCTATATTCGGCTTTGTGAGCATAAGGTCCTCAACTGGGATTGTGTCCGATACTTTTTGAACGGCCCTTATACAAGGTCCAACAGGAGTCAAAAAGTTGAGATCATGAGATGCGACGATCCGAGTCACCATAGTCCTTGCAGCGGTGGACTTGGAGGGCCAAAGGCCGAGACGATCACGTATGCAACGGGTGGGGGCCTGTTGTTGCTTACGTTTACCGCAACTCGGATGCAGATCTAGCACCAAGTGGAGTTAGCGGCGACACTCCCTACAGCATGAACTACGGAACGGGAACAATGACTCTTCCAATGAGTGTCATAAAGGAAGCCATTCAAACAGTCCGAGAGAAAGGCGGGAAGCACTTTGCACCAGAACGTCGATTGGGAGTTCTGCCCGAATTTAGTGGTCTCAACCTTGAAGACGTCTCCACCGATGCCTCATCCTATGATGACCCAGTCAAGCTCATACACCCAAAGGGTTCAAAACCGCAAACTCACTCATCTCTGCTCCACGGCCGTCTGACCCAAGACAGTGTGAGCATTGCAGCTGGACCTTGTTCTCATCACAATTCCGGAGAAAGTCATTCCTGCATCGCGATTCGCTACCAGCGAAGTATACGTGTCGGCTGGGCGCAAATGGAAGGGAGACTCCAAGAGTTGGATCTACCGAGCCATGATTGGTTCCATGCAATAAGCCGGGAGTCATACACGTACAGGGGCCCCTCTTGTGTTGCTGAAACATGCAATGATAAAGCTTGTCGGAACCACTACGCCATAGCAAGTAGCCGGTCACATTTCGCAACCTCAGAGGTTGAACTATCCAGACCTGCCATAATGATGGAAGTGGTCCATAAATGGCCAGTGGTTCTTGTAGTCCTATTAGTAACCGTTGGCCTGTGGTCGGAAAGCAATCTTTTTGCTTAGTAATAGTATATTTTATCAAGGCATTATAAGCTTTAGGTTTAATTGATAAAAGTAGTAGCTAATATGCATTTCGAGTTTATACTTCTTTAACGGGGTTATGAGCTGGGATAATGATAACTAGTTAGGAGTATATTGCAAGCTAAAATCGAGAACTCATTGTAGAGAGAATATATTTAAAATACAAAAGAACTCTTAGGCATTGGTAAGCGACATGCTGTGATGTCCGCCCATGGACGAAATTATTCATCAAGCCTTTTGGGCTAAGTTTCAGTGGTTTGCTAAGCAGAATTTTTAATCTCAGCTTGGAACTATTGGAAGTGACGAGTGGCTGGTGAGGAAGCTGCATGTCGGAAATGACAGTTAAATCCTACGACTCTGGCAAATGTCAAAAACGGGATTGATTTAGTAACTTTCCTCTGGTTTTTGGGGGTATACGGTCGGGGGAAGAGAAATGGTAATTAATCTAACTGCGGGTCCAGGGTAATGAGCGCGCACATTTTGGGGGCGTAACCGTGTCGCGCCGAGTGAAGACGAACAGCAGCCTCTACGCCTTTTTGACATCAAGCGCATGGCTGAGGCTGGTGAATTTGCACTGTTGATGGGCTAGATCTTGAAGTTTCTTTCTTGATTCCGAACTGCAAGCTTGATGAGATGCGAAATAATGCTGAAGGGTTAAAGGTTATTAAAGGTATCGGTGTCGAGCCCAAACCGCCAGGTAACCACAGACAGCTGTGATGGGACGTTTCTGGAATTCGATAATCCTGGGGGGGCAGGAAGAAATGGTAGCTTTTGGGTTGCGCGGCGTAGGTAACGGAGAATGCTGACGATGGTGAGCACGAGGGCGTAGACGAGACGCGACCTGCCAAGCGCGCTGAGCCACGTGAGTGCGTCTGTCGTTCGGTTGCGCCACGTGGACTCGGCGTCGAATTGCCGGCTTGGCCGATGAACAGGTTTGAGGCTGAATGGCTTGGGTGATTGACAGCTCCAGTGGAGGAATGGCTAGACTGTTGGCTGATGTCTATTTGTTTTAAGCAGAACTGGCAGAATCTCAGGACACAGCCGTCATAGCATTACGGGCTTGGCGTTGGCCGTTTTGTAATTTTGCATTGTTGATCAGACTAAGAATACCAGTTCACCATGAGTGTCTTGGTAATCTGTGTGAACATGTATGATGGTCAAGACTGTGCGCGACAGCTGTGTTTGTTCCCGTGCCCCGAGGCGAAAATTCGACGCTAACGAGCCAGGGTAATGATCTGATGCGACCCTGGGATCTCAAAGCATGTAGCCGATAAGGGAAACTTTATCCTAGGTAATAAAAATATGTATCCGTACTTGGGGAAATTTAGCTTAGTTCAATTGAACTTTAACCGCTTTATTCTGGCACCCCGATTTTCTGTCGCCAGTTTCCCAATCTCACCTCGCCTCGCTCGATCCAAGCGCAAACGAATTGACAAGATATTTGCAGATAGCATGCGACAGCAGAGGTTCCCGCTTATTGCTCTTACGTTTGGAGTGTAGCGATGCACACTCACATTCTGAGTTCTGGAAGGGCCGAATGCGACTCCAAGTCACCTATGGGGTAATACCACACAAAAGTCGAGCTGTCATCAACGACTTTAAAAATGGCATCAAAATAAGCGACTTACCCGAGGCCCTTCGAAAAATACGGTAGTGGGTAAAGCAAACAGTGGGCTGATTGGGGAGTCTGGAGTAGCGTGATACGGGTTTGCGGGGGATTTTTCCGTAAAAGTCGAGCGCCACCAGACAAACTCCAACGGCAGCCGGCCCGTCGAATCATGCGGCTCTAAGAGTTTTCCCTCTATTCAATGGAGCTAACCCCAGATGAGGCAACCCCCATGGAGAAAATACCCGGGGACAGCGGCCCTATTAGGCTGGTCGGCCAGTTTAGCCTATATTCGCGGGCCGGGGTTCTGGGGTAAATTACAGGACCCGGTTAATAGGTTAATCTGTAACGTTGACTGACAGGGCCATCTCATATTTAATGTCCAGCTTGGCGCCAAGTTGGTTTTTACTCTTTTTGCTATCACACTTGCATTTTGTGGCTTTTTTGATCCCCCTTCCAGAATACCAAAAGCTATCCTCTCAATATGGTGGGCTTCGCTGTCGGTGCGGCTACTACCAAGCAGGACCTCGCCGTCGCGCAGGCTGAGGCTCCTCAGCTTGCAAAGGTCAAATGGTGGGCTGATCCTGGAATGCGCGTGCTGTACTTTTACGCCGCGATTCTGTGTGTCTGCTCTGCCACGACTGGTTACGATGGGTAAGAAAGAGCCAAGCGATCGCCCAGAATACTTGGCGATGATGGGATCAAGGCTAATGGGGCATCTTTAGATCCATGTTGAACACGTCGCAGGCTATGGACGATTGGCAAGATTACTTTGGTCACCCCACGGGCTCCAAGCTTGGCATCCTGAACTCGATCTACCAGATTGGCAGCATTGCCAGTTTCCCATTCGCGTATGTTACGTTCTTTCTGTCTGCGGGGTGATAATTGGTGGAAACGAAACAGAAGGCTAACTGTATTGGGTATAGCCCCTTTATGGCTGATCACTTTGGCCGAAAGATTCCTATTGCAACGGGATGTCTTATCATGATTCTCGGCGCTTTCATCTCCGCCTTTACCAATGGCTTCGGCAGTATGTTATCAGCCGACTCACGTATTTGAGCAGCGCTAACGAGTTTTCACAGTGTACCTTGGTGGTCGATTCCTCGTTGGTTTCGGAAACTCTCTTGCCCAGCTCTCTTGCCCCGTTCTCCTCACCGAGATCTGCCATCCTCAGCACCGTGCCATCGTCTCCGCCATCTACAACTGTTTGTGGAACCTGGGCGCCACTCGTAAGTCAATTCCCCACAAGCTTACCTCTCACAACCGCTGACGAACATCTCCAGTCTGCGCTTTCATCGGTCTCGGTACGATTAACATCAACAGTAACTGGTCATGGCGATCCATCACCCTCATCCAAGCCGTGCCATCTTTGATCCAAATTTCCTTCATCTGGTGGATCCCTGAGTCCCCACGTTGGCTCATGGCGAACGAGCGTCACGAGGAAGCTCTCAACATCCTTGCCAAGTACCACGCCAATGGCGACGCCAACAACGCCACTGTGCAGTTTGAGTACACTGAGATCAAGGAGACCATCTCCCTCGAGTACCAGGCTCAGAAGAGCGGCAGCTACATCGACTTCCTTCGAACCCGCGGTAACCGTTACCGTCTCATGCTCTTGATCTCTTTGGGTATTATCTCGCAGTACTCTGGCAATGCTCTGATCAGCAACTATTCCAACATTATTTACGAGGGCGCTGGTATCAAGGACCAGGCCCAGAAGACTGGACTGAACGCAGGAGAGAACATGCTCAAGCTTTTCGTTGCTATTGGCTGCTCTATGGGAATTGATAAATTCGGTCGTCGTCCACTCTTCCTTACTGCTACTGTCGGTATGTACAAGTCGCATTTCACTGATTAGTTTCTCTAGCTAACTTGCGACTAGGTATGCTTCTGTTCTTCTTGGCCTGGACAATTGTCGCTGCCCGCTTCGAAGCCGGTGGCGAGGTCGAGATCAAGCGTCTTGGATACCCCCAGATCGCCCTCATCTGGCTCTTCGACGTTTGCTACTCCATCGCCTGGTCCGGTCTGATCGTCGCCTACGCCCTGGAGATCTGCCCCTTCAGACTCCGTGCCCGTGGTCTCACTATCATGAACTTCTTCATCCAGGTTGCTCTCACCATTGGCAACCAAACCAACCCCATCGCTCTCGAGAACCTTCCCAACAAGTGGAACTTCTGGTGCTTCTACACTGTAAGTGCCACTTCTCTGACTACACTCCCATGTTCAGAAGACTAATAGAGAAACAGGTTTGGATTGCCGTCGAGCTCGCCTTTGTCTTCTTCTTCTACGTTGAGACTAAGGGACCTACTCTGGAGGAGATTGCTAGAATCTTCGATGGCGATGATGCTAATGTCGCACAAGTCGACCTCAAAGACACTGAGAAGCAGGCTGTTCTTGAGACCACCGAACAGGTGCATCATGATGAGCGCAGGGACTTGTAACGTCTTCAAGTTGGACTGGAACTTTATCACCACCGGCAGCACTGGCTGTCGGACACACCTAATAGTTTGATCCCTTCTTGCTAGAAGTCCGCAAAATGACTGGACGCTTTTATAAATACAACATCTCTTGCTGAATCTATCTTGCGAGCCTGAACCTTGGCCATAATCCCGCCTAGCAACTACCACTCCTATCAGCATTGTGACACTGCCTTAGCCAGCTAATAGCCCCCTTTTACTTCTCTCTTCCCCTCTTGGTAATGAAGTGGCATCACTCACGAAGCTAATATCTTCCAAAGTGCCTTCTTCAGTGAGGATATATGTACACCAATACAATCCAGATGCCAACAAACAGAACACGTCCAAAGTTGAGACCGACTATAGCACCATCAATTTCCGATTTATTGCGGAAGTCATCCGCAGTTACCATCAACACTAGACCTATGAGCAATAATATGGTCCCGACCCAAAAGCACAAGGCAATAAGGTGGACAACACAGACGGAATGCGTACTCCTCCAGATAACACGTTGAAATGGTATTCGAAAGCGTATGATTGTGGCAATACATAGCAAAGTTAATAGCCACCAAGAAGGGTATATTATCCCCATAATGCAACCGCTGGATGACATAATCAGTCTATGATTCCTATCTATTAGGACAACTTACCTGTTACACACGCGATTGGACCTCAGCAAAAGTACCAGGTAGACCGTATTGAGAACAAGCTCAATTGTGGAAAAGCCAAGTACTATTTCCCATTGTATGTAGCCGACGAAGTAGTGGAGAAAGAGCTTTTGGTATTCCCTTGGGATCCGGAGGCCATCGCGAAGGAGAATCGGAGCAAGAGGCACATTCCCCGAAAGAAGGGGTTTGCTGTGACCCCGGGGTGGATTCAACGTCGTAGTTACATTTCCTGAAGACTGAGGAGCTGTGCCAGCCGTCTGAGCGGTACAACGCTCAAAACTCAATCTCCGACTATGCTGCTTTTGGAACATGGCGGCTATAGGTCCATCCCATTCTCTGCGGTCTTCCTCGAGATAGTGAGGACTATCAGAAGGGACGGGTCGATGACAAACAGTGATAGAATCGGGAAATCTCCAGGATGTTGGGACAACTCGCAGGGTAAGAAGCTTGGCCCAACGAGTAAAGACATCTATGATAGAGAGCACGAAAAACGCCAACACACAAGTGACAACGGGATCTATCTCTACTTCCTTTGGGTTCTTGCTAACGTAGTCACCTCGTGGAGGAGGCGGTGGCGGCGGCGGGAGGTCTGGAGGGAGGGGCGTGTCTGGTCCCCATGGCTGTCTACCCAGCTCCTCCCACCTATCTAGCAAGTCTTGAATTCGTGGTGAACTCAGCCAGTTATTAACTAGCGCCGCAAATAGGACTTGGCAAGTGACAGCGATCGCCAAATGCACAGCAGGTACGAGTGCGTGAGCGAGTATAACCACTCTTGACGTCCACCCGTTCGCCCAAACGGGATTATGTTTGTATCTTGCTAAGACCCAGGACGGGAACCAGTCAACTAGGCTCAGAACCATGTAGACACAGAGGAGAGAATCAACGGCGTGTGCTTGGCTATCGAACTGAGCGAGGCCGTAGTCAACGTATCGCTCGTCGGACACAGGCTGAGGATATGCGAAGATCCCCGAGCCGTTTGGAGCTCTATATGGAAATGGATAACTGTAATCAGCACGCCGTGTGCCAATAGCATAAATCGCAAAGGTGAACCGCAAGGAGCTTGTGATGAATATTGGGTAGCCGGTAGCGCGCATCAGTAGCACCTCGCGCCAAGGATGGACCTTGAGTTGATATATGTCTTGGTCCATATCTTTGAGCTCTGTGGTGTTGCTTTCTTACTTGATTGATGTTGCTATTTTAAAGTCCTTCCCCTCTTTTTAAATGCCGACGATTTGGATAGTGAAGTGTCTTATAGGCCATTGATGACATTTGCACTTTCATTTCAGCCGCAGGCACTCATGCCTCAGGCATTGTATCACAATCTTGTCATCTCCCCGCTTACCATTCTTCTGTAGACCATACCTTATCTTAAAAACTTTATTCTATATTAGGCAAACATGGCAGCTTCCGCGAGTCTTTGTCAGTCTTGCCAGGGTTTCGATATTCAGGCATTTGCCCGCCCAGGAAGCCCTTGGATAACTACGAAGACGGCACTCGTCAGAGACGGGAGTCAGCAAGGATGCCACTTCTGCCAATTTCTGATCGGAGAGAATAACAAGAATTTCTTCCTTGAGAATGGTTTGCTGAAACGTGGATTCGAATGGCTTCACTGGACATCAGCAAGCCCGGTCGGTATACCAAGCAACAACCGTTCAGTCGTGCAAAGTGACAGGGGACTTGGAATTTCCATCCTGCTTGTTAAACTTTCGAAAGATCCGAAGCCCTCATTGTTTTCCAGAGGAGACCAGTACAGTGTGTTCAATCTGCATGCTGAAGAAAGTAAGCAAAGTCTCGCAATGTCGTTCAAAAGACTAGCTACTTACCCCCACCACAGGCAGTCCGGCAGCGACTAGTGGAGATATAATCGGAATAACCCCCGTTGACAGGGACCCTTCGTCTAAAGCATCATGTAATAGGATACGGCAATGGCTAGACTCCTGCGAAACTCACCAAGAATGCGCGAAGACCTTATCCATGACTCGATAAGTTGAAAGAGGCCGCTCCCCGCTGCCAACACGGTGCATTCGTGTTGGTAGATCTACTACCATGGTTGGCGGGTTAAAATACACGCTAGAAGAGACTGGAGGCAGGTTGGGCGAGTACATATCCCTCAGCCACCGCTGGAGCGACCCAGAGACAAAACGATCGAGCACATATACACGGAACTATGGCGATCGTGTGGCAGGGATACAGTCGGCATTCCAAGACATTGATCCTTTATTCGCGGATGTCCTTCTGGTAGCCTCTCAGGTGGGCATACCATACGTGTGGATCGACAGTCTTTGCATTATCCAAGATAGTCCTCAGGATTGGAACGCTGAGGCTGTCAAGATGGCTGACTACTACCAAAATGCTTCCTTCACCATCATGGCTGCCGTTCCCCCGGGTAAACGATGTCAAGGACTTTTCCAGGTACCAGAAGGAGATCTGTATCGCCTGGCTCGTCTTCCTTACCGGGACAAGGAGGGGAATAGGAAAGGCCATTTCTATGTATCCTGTCATCTTGATCCTGCACGTGAGACCCTACGGCACAATCAGATACGGAAGAATGATATCCTAACTCGAGGCTGGGTATTTCAGGAATGGGCCCTGAGTCGGAGAATTGCGTGGTACACAGAAAATGGCCTGACGCTACGATGCAAATGTCGAAATCTTCAGTATCAAGGGGAGAGCATCATTATCATAGATCCGAGTCCAAGTCTGCATCGAATCCTTCCACTCATGGGTATGGTAATTCCCAAGCACCGCTGGGATATTTACAAAGCAGTAGCTACCCCCTTTCGATCCCCTCTTGACTGGCAGTCGTTGGTATCACAGTATTCAGCGATGCAGCTGACCAAACCGGAAGAAGATCGTCTTGTGGCCCTTAGTGGTGTTGCCCAAGAATTTATCTCTCAGGAGTCGTCTGCTAAGCTAGTTTGTGGCCTCAGGCCATGGTGCTTGGGGGTGGACTTACTCTGGAAACAGAATGCAGCGGGTATACACTCACGCTACACCGAGTTCCCCTCTTGGTCATGGGCATCGATCAATACCCCAGTTTCTTGGATTCCGACAGGTAATGCGACGGGATGCTTCAACGTTGTTTCTGTATCTTCTACTCCAGGTGGCCGGTCAGGATTACCTGCTAGAGCCGGTGGAAATCACACATCGCCTACTGGTAGCCCATCCGGTACTGCTAATCAGGCTATATCGTCTGCTGTATTTGCGCCGGAAGCATCTATGAATACTCTCAACATTCGCTGCCGTCTACTGCCTGTTAGATTTGGCCCTATATTGAAGGAGACATCCCAAGATCTTGTTTACAGAGCCAGTCGCTACCCAAAAGAAGAACCGCCGATCGACTGCCAGCCTCGAGCCGTAGCTCTGGCAACAGAGAAGGACACTGTCGTCGGATGGAGTTGCCTGGAGGAACCTGATCTTCAACTCGATGACGCCTTTGCTAGAGACCCAATAATATTTGCTCTCTACGTTTCGGTCCTCAGAGTTGCGCGGGGCGCTGGGATATTTAGTAAGATTTGGGGTGATGAGAGCATTTTCAATGTTTTATTCGTTCGTCCGTGCTCTACAGTCACAAATGGATTTGAAAGGGTTGGGTCTGGTCGCCTTTTTGGGATAGGAGTAGGTAATGAGTTCCAGCGAAGTCAAGAGAGAGACATTCGCCTCTTGTAGCATATTAGTATTTGTATCATCACAGCGATGTCGTCTTTCCAATCTATGGTCCTGACTGCTTAGGCGAGGTCGTGCTCAACTCTTGTCCAATATTTTCTCATCCAAAGACCTGGTATCAAGATAAAGTCTCAATTGACTCTATATTCGACAGAATGTGCTCAATATTTGAGGAAAGTTGAGGTAGTTATTCTACCCCACCACCTCCAGATTTGCGTTGCGATGATTGATCTCTCACCTAAGAAAGGGAGACAACAAAACTTAGGACCTAAGTAATAAAAGAACTTAGGTAAACTGCAGATATTTTACTACAACTTTAGATCGGTTTATTTTGGCATCTTGATTTTCTTGCTCACTGAAGAGAGGGAGGCAACCAAGACTGGCCCAGAGGGCGATGACCACGTAGGCTAAAGGCCTAAAGCCCATCTTGCTGCGGGCTGACCATTATCACTAACGCGTCTTCCAATCATATCACTGATAGCTGTTTGTAATCGTATGCAGGTTTCAGCTGCCCACGACTTTTCTGCCCACTGATTGCGGCGCTTATCTCTCCCCGCTCGGGTGATTTTCAACTTCCCCCGCACTTCAGCTTCCCAACATCAATCACTTCTGTCTCATCCATCACTAAACTTGAAAGAGACATTGAACTATCACGTTGCTATCATGAAGCAGCTTTCGAAGCTCAAGAAGAAATTGAGGTCCTCGGACTCAGCTAATCAACAATCATCTCGACCAGCGCCCATACCCTCAACAGCCTCCACCAGCCAGATCACGACTTCATCATCCCATGAATCTACTGGGTCTTCTTTGACTGTACCAGTTCAAAGCTCTCCGACTACTATACCACCATCCACAACAACATCTGCGCCAGCAACTGTCTCTTCACCTTCACCTGAACCCCAAAACGCTATTCCAAGTATACCTGAACGACTCTGGAACAAGGCCTACGACACTCTCGAAGAAAAAGAACCCGAAATCGTCAAAAGCTATCAGGATATCCTGAAAATCGTGCAACTTGAATGGGATGATACATCGGATCCCGAGGAGCTACAGCATCTGGAGCATTGTAAGACTGTTAAGTCACGCCAGATGTGGAGATTGGTCTATGCCGGACTTGAGAAGTCTAAGCGGCAGGCCAAACTCAAGGAGAGTGTATCAAATGTCATCGAAACTATCGATAATCTGAAAGGAATAGTGGAAAAGGCCGTGAAATACTCCTCTGAAGCCGCAATTGCGTGGGCGGGTGTCAGCCTCGGCTTAGAGGTATGTCCCTTGTATACTCTCAGGACAGTGGCTAACATGACCTCAGATTCTCTCCAATCCGATGAAGGAGCCAGGACTAAATCGAAAAGGCATAGCCTATGTCTTGTCGCGAATGGAGTGGTACTGGAACTTGGCTGAGTTGGTCCTCCAGGACAACTCGAGTGTTCCTTCGGCCGCGTTGAGAACCAACTTGGAGACTCAGATCATTGACTTCTACAAGAAGCTCCTTCTATTTCAGATGCGAAGCGCCTGTCTCTATTACCGCAACTGGGCAGGTGTCATTCTAAGAGATACAGTCAAGCTTGATGATTGGTCTGGGGAGCTCAACACCATTAAAGATGCAGAACGGCTCATTCGCAAGGACATAGAGCAGTACGATAACCAAGATATCCGCTTGAAGCTCAGTATGATCGAAGCATCTGCAGTAGACCAAGCTGATTCGCTGGAGAGTATCTGCAAGATTCTGAGAGAGGAGGTCCGATCGCAAGAAAAGAACGCGCAAGGTGACAAAGATGAGGAATGTCTCCGCGCCCTGTTAGTTACGGACCCTCGCATGGACAAGAAAAGGATCCAAAGTCAGAAGGGTGATCCACTGAAGGAATCATATGAATGGATCTTGAAGAGCGACGCCTACGAAACATTCATCGACGATTCATCAAGTCGGGTCCTGTGGATCTATGGACCACCAGGAAAGGGCAAAACAATGTTACTTTGTGGTATCATCGATGAACTACAAAACAGTTTGAGGCCCATCTCGTTTTTCTTTTGTCAAGCGAATGTCAAAGAAGAGGACTTGTCTAGTGATGTTGCTGTCATGAGAGGGCTGATCTATGTTCTTCTTGAACATCAGCCGTCCCTCATATCAGTGGTTCGCCCAATCTATGACAAACAAAAGGATCGACTCTTCAACAGTATCAACAGCAGTGAGATTCTCGGAGATGTTCTCACCAAGATGCTTCAAGACCCACGTTTAAACAACACAATTTTGCTCGTGGACGCTCTGGACGAGTGCAGCATCAACAGGACTAAGCTCGCAAACCTCATTGTGGAGCTGTCTAAGTCCTGTAACACCAAATGGATCGTGTCAAGCCGCGACTGGCCTGAGATCCGACAGGAGCTTATAGATGCAACGGGGTTGATCTCGCTCGACCTTGAACAAGAACATGAGGCGGTTTCTCGAGCTGTCAAATCATATATCAGCATGAAGGTGGATAATCTCGCAAAGACGAAGTGGAAGAATGACTCGGAGTTGAAAGAGAAGGTCTTCGATTATATGCAATCACATGCCGATGATACATTCCTTTGGGTAGCATTGGTCTGTGAAAGACTTGCCAACTCCGGTATCACAAAGCGCTTAGTTATGGAGGAGCTAGTGAAGTTCCCCACGAGCCTTACAGCCCTTTACCAGGCTATGATGGAACGAATAACGACTTCGTCTGAGGCTGGTCGACTAAGACAGATTCTAGCATTAGTTTGTGTTGTTTACCGCCCTCTCACATCGGCCGAGATACCGACACTTGTCGAGACCATGTATGATTACAATCAAGATGATGTAGAAGATGCAATAGGTTCTTGTGGCTCCTTCCTGACACTGCAGGGTGGGGAGATATTCTTTGTACACCAATCAGCTAAGGAATTCCTTCTCGACCAAGGCCAAGAGACTCTTTTCCCGCGCGGTATCAGTTACCAGCATGAGCACATCTTCTCACGCTCTGTTGAGGCCATGGAGAATACCCTTCGACAGGACATCTACGAACTTGACTCGCCCGGTGCCTTCAACCAGGATGAAGTCCCAAGCCCTGACCCGTTGGCTCGTATTAAGTATTCATGCGTCTATTGGGCTCAACATCTTTGCGAATCGGATCCTTGCACGCAGCCAAGTGTCTCAAACCTCAAAAGAGTTTTGAATTTCCTCCAGATGAAATTTACATGCTGGTTAGAGGCACTCAGTCTGATCGGGGAACTCTCTACAGCAATCAAGAGCATAATGGCTTTAGAAGCTATACTGGTAAATATATCTCGAGGTGATGAATACATCAGCGACTAACTCTCCAACAGGCCGACGTGGAAATGCAGGAGCTTACTGACTTCGTGAATGATGCTCGTCGATTCATTTACCATCACAAGCCCGCTATAGAAATGGCCCCGCTCCAGGTGTACGCATCTGCCCTTATATTTAGTCCGCAGCTCAGTGTCATTCGCCAGAAATTCTCCTCCCAGATGCCGGAATGGATCATCACCAAACCAGTGATGGATAATCAAGGCGATACTCACACGCAAACAATATACAATGGCTTCGAGGATGCGTATGCCAGTTATTCTCCAGATGGCCGCTACTTAGCTGTGTCCAATATATGGTATTTGGACATCTATGAGACAGCTTCAGGTGATTTAATTCATGGAGAAGAGGCTTCTTCACAACTTTTCTCGGTATCATATTCCACAGATGGGCTCTTGCTATGTGTTGCAACTAATGGAAGCGTTTTGATTTACCATTCAACCACGTTGAGGCTCATACGGAAACTGGAGCTCAAAGCCCAGAAATGCTTCTTTTTGCCAGATGGTAACAATATCGTACTTGCGTATAATGAAGATGTTGCCGTGTTTGACTGGAAGTCAGAGGAACATATCTCGACCCTCGATGGGATTATGGAAGATCACCGCACAGTAGCATTATTGTCCCCAACTGACATTGTGGCGATCTCACCAGGCACAGCAGAGGCCAAGATTTGGGATTTGTTCACCGGCGACTGCAAACACACCTTCGATTGGGATGTTACAGAGATCAGCTCAGTGGCTTGTTCGTTAGATGGACACTGGGTAGCAGCAGCGTCCACCTTCGATGTTCGACTCTGGTACTTCGATGATACGCAGGGCTGGATTTATAAGCACGACTTGAGTCATCAGTATGCTGTAAACTGTCTCACATTCTCAGCCGATAGCCATGCATTAATCTCAGGCTCATATGACAATTTTATTAGGGTCTGGGATGAGACAGGGGTCTGTACTGAGGTACTGAAGGGACACACTCAGCCGATCAACTTTTTATCCGTGTGTGGATATCACTTAGCCTCTATAAGCGAAGATAAAAGTATTAAGCTTTGGGATTTGTCTGATATTCTTTCAGACCTAGACAGGCAAAGGCGACGGGCAGTGGCACAGTTATCGAATTCTTACTGTCAAGAATCAGAACAAGGTGTTGGTTTGAATCAAGATCTTCGGATCGATAGCCTGTCATTTTCTCCTACTGGCAGTATGCTGGGATCACTATCATACGGAAAGACGCGTATCTGGGATACGGCGACAGATATCTGCGCAGACATCCTTTTTTTAGGTGGCGCTTCAGGCCCTGACGGGGTAGGATTTACCCCCGATGACAGGCTAGTGGCCATGAAGGACTCGGATGGCAAGCTCGGCATTTGGGACACAAATCTTATGACGCAAACTCGTTCTTTCAATTCAAAGGATTCCGAGTATGTAGCCATATCTGCCGACGCGTCATCCTTGTCTAACTTCCACACCGACAAAGAACTGGGGTCAGTGCTAAAAACCTGGGATTTGATCCAAGATCCTGAAACGCAAGCCCATATTACTTCCGAAATTCTGCCTATTAACAAAATCATAGGGGTCGGCAGATTTTTATATTCAGAAGATTGGAAGTTCCTGGCTATTGGTGATGAGGGTAACTACCTACAGGTCTTGCATCAAAACTCGGGATGCTGGGTCAGCGAACAACGTCCATCTCGTGATGAAATTCATTTAGGGGAAATGCCTGTGGCATTCTCTAGAGATAGTGAATGGCTGTTAACATCCGATAAGGGCCTGAACTCCTTTTTCATCAGAAAGATGACTAGCCCCTACGTTGGGAAAGATCTTGGATCTCTTCAAGCATATGCTCCACCTTATAATACATCGGAACTCGAGGAACCGTTTTGGATAGCAAAGACTCCGTATGGCTTTCTGGCTGTTGGAAAGCCTAATGACTTCGAAGGCACAAGACGTATTGGATGGGGTTTGTCCATCGAAATGGATTGGATTATGCGGGGGGACGAACGAATGCTCTGGATCCCTGCCGATTATCGCCGGATGGCGTTGGATGTTAATGCTTCGCGAGTAGCGTTTGTTTGCCCTTCGGGTCAGATAAAGATCATGAGGTTCCAATAGAAACTTGGTACCGAAAGATGACGATAGTAGTAGTGTTGGTGGCTATACATTCTGACTCATGATATAAATGCGTCTTACCGGTTTCGTGGTGATTATATGCGAGTCTTGGATATCGAGTTGCATCGAGCGGTCATCATTGCTACCTCCGGGGTTGAACTGAGTTACAGATCGCCTGTTAATTACTTACGTTGATTTATACGTAAATGTCTTTTATGTGGCTCTCTTAAAAAGGAGACTTTTCCACTATGCTCTCTCTAATTGGACTTGGTGACATGGAATATCAATACAGTCAAAAGATACCTTGTTGATATTTGTCTTGGCTGAGGTGACTTTACCAACTCCATAAGTGCCCGTCGATAGCACTGTTGTAAATTTTGGAGATTAACCATGACACTTGCTCTTAGGACGATGTTCTATGTCTCAATCAAAGCAGCCTTTGTGAACAATCCTGATAAATCTGAAGCGAATGCTGTGTGATATCCGGCTTCCCTCCAGGCAGCATCATGCGAAATGGCCAACCTTGCCAATGGTATATCTCAGCACCTATCCTCCGAAGCCAAGCAGTAGGCACAACAGGAATCCAGAACTCACACTTCTCGCACGCCAAGATCTCAAGTCCTGCTGTCCATGAGCGATGAGCCTCGTCTTTCTCGCCGATTAGCAGCTGTTCGTGGGCCAAGGACAAGTGACATACAGCGGCTATGAACCCACGAGGTGAGCCGAGAGAATGCATCTGGCTTACTTGTTCGAGTGCAAATGTTCAGCATCGTATGGCTTCACCTAGGTCTAGCCTCATGTGAGCTATACGAGCTGATACTAGTAATTTCCTCATATGCAGCTGTTGATCGTTGATATCGTCTGGGCAGGGAGGTAGATCACACAGTAACTCCTCAAGTGCTGACTCTGCGGCATCTAATTGTTTCAGACCGATGTTTGCCTCCACCAGTGCCAGAATAAGCCTTCGGAATCCACGACGGACGCGGTCACTTGGATTGATATGCTCAAGTTCAGGTTCCAGTATCTCCGTAGCTTTGATGTACTCTCCCATCTCGCAATACACATCAGATAATCTCCCAAGCAAGACACGTCGTGAGTTCGTAGGTATGGGTTTGATTCGACCCAATGACAGGAGCTCCTCTGGAGATACCCTTGCTGCGTCAAAATCGCCTATGGACTGGAAGTATCGGGCAGCTGTGCTCTGTAACCGAAAGGTCACTTCCATGTCCAAGGTCGATAAAGGCTGCTGTGCCTCCCATTTACAGGCAAATAAAGGCACATCTTTATCGTAGCACTTGATCTTGTTCTCCATCTGGGAAATGTGAAGGCGACCCTCAAGTGCATGGTCCCGACGATTGCTTGGCCGTGGCCCACGCCAGAGAAACTCGCGTATTTGCGCTTCAGACTTGGCAAGTTCTCCATCAACTCGATAGAGTATGCTGCCGAATAGTACAACCGAGGCGTGGAGATAATAGGGCATTGACTTTCGTAACAGCAGTTTGGCCTGCTTTACCACAACATGGCGAATGGCAAGTGAGTCTCTCTCGCAGAAATATAGGACAGCTTCAACAACCTGGGTCTTGAGGGAAGCTAATATCTTGCACCCTTTCAGAAGCTTTTCTAGTATCGGCCACACTTGTTGTTTTACCAACGGTGACCTGGGACACCAGTGTCAGTGATTTTGTAGAAAGTCGGGGATGTATCCCACCAGTCCGTATTTCCCTCATAGCACATTGGGCAAACAAAACAAATGAGCTTCAGCGCTGTAATCCCAAGCACTTCGATCGTTTGTGGCGCCAGACCTTCCTCGAGACTAAATATTCGTTCGGGACTGAGAGACCAAGCTATGGTGCCGTCTGCTTGGATTCTATCGACGACATCTGGACCTGTTAAGGCCTTAGAAAACTTGCTTCATTGCATAGAAGATCGACGAGGTCAGAGGGTAGGCCAAACTGAAGCGCATTGGTTTCACCAACCTCTCCGTCGGCATTCCAACGTCGTTGTGGCAGGCGAACACTCTTAAACAAAACATCTGGTATATCAGTGCCGCTGAGTGCGTAAATTATAAGGAATAACTGATCATGATCAGGAACAAATGAAGCGAACTCGCCAACTAGATTGTGATATAGCACTGGAGGGTCTGTAGGCCAGCTTAATATTATGACGTATTGCACCACGTCAGGTATTACTAACCGCATAGTTGACTAAGAACCAGGCGTTGTACGAGCTCATTGTAATTCTCAAATGATGGCTTGAGAGATGATAAATGGGTGAAGACTTCTTCATCGTCAACACTCAGATATCTCTCATAACTGCGTCAAATCAGCACACTCGGACCTTGTAAATATGACAAAATCACATACGTTGAAGCTGGGACGTCGAGTGGAAGGAAGCCAGAAAATTGCTCCTACACCACCTAGTCTCTGAGCTATCTGAACATATTTCCTGCCAGGGTTTCTCAGATCAGTGAAACTCCGCACTGCGGGAAATAGCTCAGCCACTTGAGGAGTAGCCAGTGTCCGAGCATCCAATTTAGATCGAAGAAATATCACAACGCAGACAAGTCGGCGCCGCACCTCAAGATGAACACGATCCTCTGAGCCTACCCAGAAATCAGCCACATCGTTCTCAAATCTGGAGAATACCCGATCGATAGGGGCAAGGTCAACCTTGTCTACAAACAGGGCCTTTTCCGATCGTTGGTTTCGTGGTGTGATCTGATACTGCACATGACGACTGAGCGAACTAGCCTGCGCTAAGAATTGTCGCAGATGTTGTAGATGGCGATTCAGTGCAGGGACTAGTTCTTTGACTTGGGCCTCGTTGTAGCCCTTCGCCAGGGTATGGATTGTGTTGCAGACACAGCCGTCCATTGTGCAGCGTCGTGTAACCTGCGCGTTTTGGGTTAAGGGTCGTACGAACAGATAGTTGAGTCCAGATCTGCAAACTCTGGAGTGGACTGTCATGCTACGCGCGTTTTTCGGGTCTGTTCGCCGAGGAGGACAGGACTGTACGCGTATTCGCTGTCCACATTCCAGTCGAGCCAATTATCAATCTACCCTCAGATGATCTTATCTGATCTTGTGGATCCTAGCGTGAGAATCCTGCTCGTGAAAATTCGGCTCATATAAACATCCCAGCTAGTTGCCGCCCACTGTAGCCACTCAAGGACAGAGAAACAAGTGTGTGTCGAGCAGGGATCAGCAAACAGACTGTTTCTTCACTGTGAACAATTCACCATGATGAAGAACCCTGTCACGACCCATGACGTCCAGCACAGCCTATCAGGCTTGTGATCGAAACACCGAGCCTAGCTGTCTTGGGGCCGAAGCCGACGGAAAACCGAACGAGATTGATAACAACCAAGCTAAATGGATCTAACGCGTGCTAAAAATTAAGAACAAGCACGACACCCTTTTTGCTAAGATCCTGTCCAGTCAGAAATGGCACCGAGATCGGGATTACTCGTAGCTCGACTGCCACGAAGCGTGACTTGGATCACGCGCGGGGCTCACGCGTAATGCCCGCTTGGCCGAGAATCTGGTTAGACTTATCAATCGGATTTTGACGCAATCTTATCAATCAGTGCGAGATCTGTCATTCTTCCTCCATCATACACTATTCGAAAATGGAGGGCTTCAAACCACCAAGTACCAAGCAGGGCAAGAATGAAGAGGCACTGACCAAGTATGCCGCTTTTCTATGCGGTCTCATGCTTTTAGTCTTCGCCATTCGTCGGCTGCGTGACATTTGTATTACGTCGCATTTTAAACACTCTGGCTCAGTATCGGCGTCCGGGCGTGAGGCATCTCTTCTGGTTTTTCAGTACGTACAATTGTCCAAGCGTTTAGCTCGGTGTATACTCATGCTCTTTGTAGAATTCTGCAGAGACGTCTACCAGCCTCGTGGTTTGGCCGACCTTCTTTGGGGTTCATCGTGATGATCAGCATCTATCTTGTCGGCAACATCGCTTTTTGCTCAAATATGCTTGCGATACCCCAACTCTTGAATCACTGGGCCTCTAGGTTCGGATGGTAGTGTGCACTATTCCGTCATGACATTCTGTGCGTAATTGACCAATGTTAGGATGTGCGTTGGCAACATGGCGCTATGTGTCTTTTTTGGCCTCAAGAACAACCCGCTGGCCCCCTTGGCCTCCATTTCGCACAGCCAACTTAATATCCTACATCGCATCGTCGGTTATACAACTGTATTTCTTCTCGCGCTTCACGCCCTTGTATACACGATTCATTTTGGCCGCCAAGGTCGCTTGGTACAGTTGTTGAAGAAGGAGGATATCGAAGGCATGGGGGCCGGCGTTGCCATGCTTGTACTACTGACGGGGGTGTTTAGACACAAGCACTATGAGCTTTTCTATACTAGCCACATCATAGGCTTCGTGGCGGTTGTGATCTTCACAGCCCTTCACAGACCAAACTGGGCCAAGAAGATACCGATGGTGATGCTCATCATATTCAGCATGTGGACGGTGGACCGACTCATACGACTGAGCAAGCTATTATGCAATCTCGCTAACAACTCAGCGACATTCTATCCTCTTCCGTATAATGGAACACGGATAGTGCTCAAGAAGCCTGGTATGGAAGACGCCTTACCTGGATCGCACTGTTTTTTATGGATTCCGAGACTTGGAATATTTGAGACTCATCCATTCACTATTGTCAGTAATGACTCCTCTGGTCTAGAGCTCGTCATGAAAACGCACAAGGGGTTCACCAAAGCTGTCAGCAGCTTTGCAAACCAACATCTCAGAACTCCTCTATGGGCATCTATTGATGGGCCATATGGGTCGCTGCCAGACGTGAGCAACTACGACAAACTGATCCTGATCGCTGGTGGGAGCGGAGCAGCCTTCACCTTTGGAGTCATGAACCGTCTCATAATACAGCGTGAAAAAAAACTTGCGATTCGTTCTATCGACTTTGTATGGGCAGTAAGGCGTATAGGTATGTTAAGATCAAGCCCTGAGTGCTCAGAAATTGTTTCTGACTCCTTGTACCTTTTAGAACAGATGAGTTGGTTTCGCAGACATTTGAGTAATATTGCGGAGTCTGCATTTCCCATCAGGGTTAAGGTCTATGTGACGGGCGAACGGTCTGCATATGACGCAGTAGTTCATGGCACCGACTCTCAAGTATCTCCTTGCGGAGCAGAATTGGAGGTTCTTCTACGACAGGATGCGTTCCACTACGAAACCATCTCTGAGATGGGAAACGTGCGCGGGTTGACTAGCGCTGAGCCCAAATGCAACCCGTTGTTTGAGAAGCTAGACGTTGATAGAACAATTAGCGAAGGCGTGGGAGCAGCTGGAAGTCATCAGCGAGTTCTCCTCTTAACTTGCGGCCCGAAATCCCTCATGGATGCCGTGCAGGATTCGGCAAGTAAGTGGCAGAAAAAACGAAATATCATAATAGATGTTCACTCTGAGGACTTTGGCGGTTGATGGAATTATATTGGATAGACTTAGAACGCAGCTGATTTTTACGTAGATTTTATTACTCTTTCCTGGTTATGTCTAATTGTCTTTAGTAATGGGGATGCCTACTGGCTACCAGGACTAGCCAGTCGGCAGACGGACGCTGTAGGCTGATATTTCCGTAGCATGCTGTAGAGTCGAAATTTTGCAGATCAAAACGGCAAGAAGGGTGAAGCCCCATCATCTATCACGGTATCATCTCTAAATAAAAGGAATTGTATTACCTGGCGTTGTTTATCCCCAAGTCTATGACCAGACCTCCTACACGCACTCTATGAGGCGTGCTGCCTGATTATGCTGTCGTATTATGAGGGTGTGTCCAGGGTAAGTAGTTGCCACGGACTATCGGGTATTTGTTTGCAACCATGAGAACATCTCCATTGGCCAACGCCTCTTGAAAAAAGACATTCATCTGATCAGCATAAGCATAACCTCTACCGTACTCATGCCGAGCTCGGAGTCTACATCTTTAGCATCTCTCATGCCTAACAAGGTCCAAAGACAATGAGGCCTCATCGCAGTGGAGAAACGGCCTCCAAAGTGGCTCGATCGGCAGACGGGATTTTGCGGATCTCATTTTCTCACTGTGAGAAAATTTTCAATGTAACCTCGTTAACCCTTTCTGGCTCTTAGTGTGCTCACTCGACATCTTATCAATCTGATTACTACCGACTCGGAACACTCTGACTCTTGGGGTTAGCTCGGGACTAACATCTAACTAATCCATTAACTTTCTCGCTGGACTGTCTGTCGTCGTACCGCTACTTCTCGCGGTTGGGGCGTGGAAGTTTGTGGACCTTGGACACCTCCAATGGTCACGAAAGAAGAGAATTGCACAGGGCTCCTTGCTCAACGAAAGAAAAGAGATTTTCACCAAGGAAAATGGTGAGAAGAACAGGCGGATATCGCTAGCTTGCTTCGCTACCTTGATTCTGTTGATCATCGGTAGCTGGTGCGGATACTTCTGGGGTGTTGCAACTGGACACAACGACTAAGATAGTTAGCTTTACCACTTCCAAATCATATCGCCTTGCCGTAGGCCTGGCCATCTACCAATATATCTTTAAGAAGTACTTTATAGCAACTATATTGGTACTTATTGGCCAGAGGCAAGTCGGCCAGAATGATTAATGAAGTACACTACTATAGATAAAGTCACAACTGCTCATCATGATAATGTCCCGAACCTAGGGCAGAGGATTAAACCAGGCTTCATCAGGCTCATGTATATCCATATGCGCATTACTAATAATGTCTGTGAAAGGCCTGTGTCTTCGCAGCTTAAAGCTTAAGCCTGAAGGCAGCAGTCAACTATATAGTTCAAGAAATAAAATTGATACAGAGCACCCAAGAGCCTGATTCAATCTCATCCTTGACAGTGAAATATTTACTACCACCAGTGAAAGAAGGTCTCAAGTAGAAGTGAAAGTCATGTTGTGCACATGCTCATTTGCATAAGCCGGAATAAAATCTGTAGTCAAATACCATCCCGGCTTCTGCATGTTATCCGAGATGACCTTCCCATTGATGACCAGGTTTTCGAACGTAACATTGCTGATCGTCCGGTCCTCATCATAACCGACAAAGATGGACATGCTGGCCTTCGTCCCAGGGTACTTCAAATCACGTACCAACACGTTCTTGATCCCTCGGCCGGGTGACGTGTTGTACTTGGTATTGTACATAACACGGAAGTTAAGCAGTTGGCCAACACGAATATCCTCGACGCGCACGTCATCAATCAAGACGTCTTGGATCAGATTGCCTCCTCCGGGGTTCAGTGCGATGGTCCCTTGGTAATCGACCTGTCCCTCTCTTTGGTCGAGGATATCGATGTTGCGGATGGTCAGACCTGCAATGGTCTCAGGGTCCTCAGTATTGCCATGGGTGCCAATATTAATCGGATGGACAACATCAGCCCACAGAATTGAGTTCTGGATGGTGACGTTTGTCGAGTTTCCATACCATTGATTTCTGTGAGCGTAGACCGCGATACAGTCGTCTGAATTGCGCAGGAAGACGGAATCAATAAGAACATTCTCGCAGCAATACACGTCCATACCATCTCCCCACTGAACAGCGCTGAAGTCGCACCAGTGGCTGAATGTTACGTCTTTTGACTCGTATGCCCTGGGCAAAAAGTTGATCCCGACTAGACGGTCGATCAAGACATTGTTGGATCGGTAGACGTTCAGATAATTTCCCTTTGGACTGTACAAGAGGCCCCGTCCACGTATGGTCACATCGCTCGAGTTGGTCACAGTAATATCAGGGACTGAAACCACTGCTCCGCCGGCGACATACAGAGTTTTCCCAGATCCGACCTCCAACGTCGAGTTGAGCTTGTGATAGCCAGGGCCGTAGTACATGACATCCTTGTCACCCTCGGATGGGACAACTGCATCGGGAGGATTGGTAAAGATATGCAGGGCGTCAAAAATATTGTCGTTGACTTGAACAACAATATCTCGCGGCTCATCCAAAGTGAAAGTGACAACAGAGCCAGACTTCTTAGGAGTCAGGTTGAGGGAGTAAGGCCTGATAACAGCCTTGAAAACTGGACTTCTGAAATATCTGGCTTGGATTTCGACAGTACCGTTAAAATCGAAGTAAGCCAGAGATGAATTGTATTTGATAGAACCGCCAGTGGTGAAGTTGACCTCGTTGAGAATAGGTTGAAACGTGTCAATCTTTTCTCATTTGCCACCGGGAACGCGAGCTTTGACATCGAAAGAGGTTGCGGTAGGGACGCCATCGGGAATAGGCCATGTCTGAAGAATGCCCTTAGGGGTCTTTGCTCCTTCAGCAATGGTGCTTTGATCCAGAAGGAGGAAGCATGCTGACTTGACAGCAGTGCTGAGTCTCATGGTTGTGGCTTTTGTATTGTAACAAGGCGAACACAGTGGATTATGAAGATGCCAGTAAGCTAATACAATAAGACTTAGATGATGTTAGAGATTGACTTAAATTTGGACTGGGCTATGTGTGTTCTTATGAGCGGGAAATCGTCACTGTCAAATATTGAGAACAACGAGGGAGTATTCCATTACGGAGGCCAATCGGCACTGCAATTCCCCGCTTCCCCGGATTTCAAGACTTGGACTAATATAGATTCTGCAGCTTGGCGTGCTGATCTCGGAGTACCTGCCGATACCTTTCCCGTCTCCGTACCCGGCTTAGGGGAGAGAAAAAAACTCAGGATCTCGATACTAAATGATGAAGAACCAAGGTTACGTAGTGTAGACTCATACTAAGTTCATGATATGCTTAGAATACGTTTTGCTGGGTTTAATTTAACTCCCTATTTCAAGGTCTAATATCTTCTTACATGCTGAGGCCGACAAATACACCAGAGCGGAGTGAGGGTAGCAATTACAATGACAGGGGTCATTATGATCGTCACTCCGTGCCAGAAATGCACTGAATATGTCCGATAGATTCTCTGTTGCTTGTAACTCAGTCTGAGGTCCATATGTTCCAGCGGAGCTGTTATGGATTCTTCTTTTTGCCAATTATGACCACAGACACTAATCTAGCAAAAATAGACATCTTTAAGCACTTGAAAGGCTGATCCATACCGCAAAACATCGTCTTCCATTGTCCAACTGGAAGAAAGAATATCGTTTGGTTGCTAGGGGCGAGAAGAGGAGTATCTTCCAGCCTGCTAACGAGCCGATGCGCCTATGCTAAGTAGCTCATAGCTTGAATATTGAAGAGTATCTAAAGTATAGTGTGTTAACGAAACTAAAGGGCAAAGATCAACAGACAAAGACGGTGTCGATTTAGAAATCATGTTAGCATGGCATATTTCGGATTTTCACAAGCCAAATCTATCCAAGGAAGATATTTAATCGTACACTGCAGCAAAGGGCTGACGCATTTTTAACTGCAGGCTGGTGGTACAATGATAGACCTCTCGCATTGGTTATCGTGTATGGATGCCTCATCGAATGCCTAGTCTGGCAGTCAATCAACTAGTTAACTATGGGATAAACACCAGCACAAATTCTCTCTGTTGATACGTTTCAATTCCCTAGCTACCGACTAACTACCTCTCCACTCTCAGTAGCCGAGCATTCGCACAAGTGAAATACGTCTCTCAAATCCACATCTCAACAGCCAGTGCTGAATATAGTAATGCTTAGTAAAGACTACCAGTCCAGTCTTGAGCAGCCCCCGATGAGGTAGCACCATTAATCGGACCCGCCAAATTGACCCCAGAGTTAGTATAGATGCCAAAAGGATCACCGGCATCATTCTGAGGGTTATAACTGCAGCCTCCAGAAGATGGGGGAAGAAGTTGCCAGTACATGTTAGGCAGTCCGACAGAGTTCATGTTGTTGACCTCTGAGACAAATGCCGACTTTTGATCGTACTTTTGCGAATCGACTCCCCATTCCTCGAGATAGACTTTCTTTCCATTGGCCTGGCTCAACCAGCTGGGTAAGTTGGCGCTCCACTGGCCAGGCACGCTTGCGTAGCGATGGACCGAAATGGCATCGATGGCCTTGCACTGCGTGACCGCGGGGAGAAAGGTGCAGCCGTGTGAAAAGTCACCACCCATACCACCGGTGGAGATAAGGATATGGCTGTCCAATCCTGCGTTGCGCATGAAGGTTGCACGACCGCAGGCCCAGCCTGCAGGATCACCGTTCTTGCAGTTGCTAGGTCCAGGAGTCATGGGTTCGTTCTGCGGACTTTGTTAGAGAGCTACAATCTAACGTGATGGCTTGAAGTTCTTACCTGAAGATTGAAGCTGAAGATGGCGTGAGGCCAGTTCTTCCAGACTTTGCCGGAGTATGCGCCCTTGTAATTGAGGATGTACGACAGGCGCGCGTCGTATGCATCAAAGGCATCCTGCTTCTCATAGAAATACCCCGCGCCCCAACGAGCCCAATAGGCGTCCCTTGAGAATGTTAGATATGGCCAATCTTCGCCACTTGTGAGAGATACTACTTACTTTCTGTAGTCTCCAATCAAAGAGTTGCCATCATGTGGTGAGATGATAGCCTTGATATTCTTGTCCGACAACTTGACAAGAAGCTTATCGATCTCATCCAAAGTCACTTTGTTGTACTGCCCGATAGTCGTCTCCAATTGCGGGATGTCCCTGACTATCTGGCTTCCTTTCTGGCAGCCCTTGCTAGCTTGATTGACCCAGAGCCTGACAACTTTGGTGTTGTAGGAGGACAATGTCTGGATGTATGCATCTTGGGCTGAGTCTGACATGCCTTGCAGAAAGTAGTTGTTGGTGCCAGACCAAGAGCCGGACTTGGCCTCGGTCAATTGACCAAGGTGAAGAAGGCCCAGGCACAGTTTGGTGTAGAGACCCTTCATGGTACAAGCTGGTATGAGGGCAAAAGAGAAAGTTGGGTCAATGATGCGTGATTGTGATTTGGGGTCTTTTGGTACCAGAGGGCTATGGGCGATATTTATATTCAAACAATGGGTGAGACCGGCGTCTTGCATATTCAGGCTATATGGTGCATACTTGTAAGACATGTGGTGGCATTGGGGAAGAATGCGGGAGGGAGTCTTCCAGCACCCCAGGGCGATCATTGATGAACGCGATCTTTCGACGGTGTACAGACATGGCAGGATCTTGCGATAAAGCCTATGCCGCTCAGTCGGCGAAGCAAATTTACTCCCATATCAATTATATACCAAGAAATACTTACCCCAGACTATTTATTCGTCGCTTCATAGACAGACTCTCGTTCCCTCACTCTATGAGGCCACCGATGCATCCTGGCCCCCAGATCTCAAGTTCCACAAAGTCAGGCTCGGCCCCATAGATCAGGCTCGGCCCTAAAGACTGCCGTCGTAGCCGGAACCAACCAATCATAAACAATAAGGCGGTGGTGGATGCGCGAATTCATGGCCCGGCCCTGCTAATAAGGCTTCTGTTTAGGGAGCAATTCCACAGCCATAGGTCTAGAAAGTATTACTGAAGATGTCTTCGGTTAGTCCCTCAAGTTCAGCTGATCCGTATACAGATACTACCCCAATTATGCTGACGATCCAAAGAGGTTTATTGGCTGAAGCAGAGAGCTAGACCGTGTCGATCTTTCAATACATGCATGATACCCTTGCGGTCGATAACATCCGCATGTTGCTTGCATTTACGACCTGCTCATTCTGGCATGGCGATTGAGTTCGGGTGAACCGGTATACGAAACGGGCATCCATCGGACGATCTTTTGTGGCGAGATCCAGTGGTAGCGAGCTATTGGTTGTATAAATCCACTCTAGGCACCTGAACCAGGGACGGAGATTCATATTTGGCAATAGACTCCAGCTAGCGCATAATCTGCTGCCAACACAAGCTACTTGCTATTACTCCTGAACCCTCCGCCGGGTTTCGACATATAAGTCCATAAGCCGAGAATTTTCTATGATTATTTTGGAAGATTCACATTGATCATTGTCAATCAATAACGTCCCTCTTTTCCGTCGCAGAACCATTTACCTCTCCTCCAAACTTTCTCCATCATGCCTTCTCTCCTTACACTTTCAATCATGGTCGGCACCATCGCGACACCAGTGGTCGCAGATATTTACAACGTCAATGTCCCCTCTGGCTTCTTTCCTGGTCCTCAGTCCGGCATTGGCTCATGGTACCGCGCCTCCACAGGCCAGGACTCAACCAACGGACAGAGCTGGTGTGGTTACAAATACTACAACTCCGACCCTGTATTTGCTCCTGTAAGCCATTTAAAAACTCATATTCTTCACGAACATCTACTCATGACTTGACAGTCTTTGAAGGCAATGGGTGGTGCCACGTATTACTCCAACCCCGATGCCTGGAGACAGCAGACTAGGAAGTATTGTGGCCTCGAAGCCAAGGTCACGGACCCTACGACGGGCAAGAGTCAGCTTATGTACATTGGTGATTCTTTCGACGATCAGTGGGTTAGAGTATGTTACACGAAGGACATGAGAGAAATTGCTGCTGATACATCCACGTAGACGCCCTCATCCATCGACATCATGATCGATGCGTACTCCAACATCCACGGAAATCCCAACGGTGACAAGAACAATGTCATCAAGGGAGTTCAATGGCAGTTTACAGGTAGGGTCAATACCAAGTATGCTGCACCGGGTGCATCCTGGCCTCCTACGTCCGGTGGTTCTGGCGGCGGATCTGGTGGCAGTTCTGGCACAGGCGGTTTGGGAGCCAAGTGCGATGGACAGACCAAGTTGTGCAACAGCGGCCTCACCTGTCTCTCCCCTGATGGTGTCTGCAGCGACAAGGCCTGCAACTGGGGGTAAGTGATCTTATGAGGAGTGGCATGTTTGGATACTAATTCGTCTTGCTAGGTGCCAGGGATGGTCGTGTAGCTCAAGCGTCCCGTGCCAGAAGCCCTCGAACTGTGTCAGCGGCGTTTGTCGCGCTTAGAAAGGAAATGGTCATTCCGATTATTCATTGGGGATTAGGCTGTTAAGCTTCATTTGATGGGCAAGCATAAGGACGCGGATTCAGATCGGAACTCCTAGCCACCAACACGTGAATTCACTTGTGCAAACTCAGCGTCACATTCCACCTATCTGCTCAATAGTGCTAGATTCTACAAACGGGATTCAAGCTCACTTAAGATTGCATTTCCAACTAAGTATCCTTATTCCCCTCAGTCATCGTCTGCATAGCGGATGTTTACCAGATACTCCAGTTGTCTCTTCTTAGCCTCCTCTACTCGCTGCCTCCGTGCATCAAGATCCTTCTTAAGTTTAGCACACTTGTCGCTCTTCGCCTCCAGGTCTTTGCAGTCAAGACTTTTCACAATCTCGAGATGGCGCTTACACTCTTGGTACGCAGCCTCGGCAGCCTTGATCTCTGCTTCTTGAGCTTCATTGACGCAAGACTCGAGTTTAATGATTCGCATGTCTTTCTTATCGAATTGAAATGGTGCCGTGCTCTTTATCTCTCGGCGCTTTATTTCAATCTTAATGCGCGCAAGGGCATGCCGGAGGTCGGCGATGTTGGCTGCGAGATCGATGCACTCGGTGCAGGTCATGGCATTTGTGTAGTAGTCCATTGTAACAGTGTCCGTGGTACTTACCGTGATTGTTTTGGTTGTGATGCTTGGTGGATGTTGTTGGTAGAGGGTGCTATTGAATCGTGATCGGTCACGTAATTGGCAAGACTTATATAGTGCAAATACGGTAAGGATTGTTCTCTTCAATATTTGTTTTGTTGAACATTTGTTCATCGTTGTATCTCACAGACATATTAAGCACCAGCTGTTCATTCGACACTGCTTGTTCACGGACTCTATGCTTCGAAAGCGTTTGAATTGAACAAAGAACATGTGGTGTTCTCTATGGGGATGACTGCCGCCTGTAAGGTTAAGCTTGAGGCTGCGAACACAGATAATGAACGATAACACGATATCTTCCTGATATAAGCTTTCACCCATAATATATGGTGTTCTCAGATTCCGCTTGATATCAATAAAGCATGTTGCTTAAGTCACCAATGCCCCTTGATATTCGTCGTCTCTACCGGTATTCACGACTACGGAAACTGACATGACGTGTTCGTTCCTGTTGAGGCTTGAATCTCCCTTCGAGCTAATAATCCTCAACTTCTATGCGATACAGATAACAGGACATTCTTATTAACATGATGTCTCAATTCGAGAATAAATCAGTATCCTGGAAGACTCTTGCACCGCTAGTTCTTGATCGTCGGTCTTTTACTTCTTGGTATGTAATGCCAGTCAAACAAGGCGGTGAACACCATCGTGAAAACTAGCCAAACACTGTACGCAGCTCAGCCTCTTACCAGCTGATGCGCATCGGCCGGAAAGGCGGGAAAGGCTTGCGACGTCATAAAGTTTGCAGCGTAGCATCGAGTAAGATGAAAACTGGGGTTTGCATATCAAGACAGTGTCATAACCAGTAGTCATTGGAGAACACCGTGCATGGTCAATGCTGGAAGAATAACTGCCGATTTATTACTACTATGTAGGGTGCTGGCGGTCAATGTCAACCAAGAATAAATATTTCATCTTTGTCCCAAAATCTTCTACTTACAACATCGTGTTCGACAAACTGTCTTATACAATCGTCATCAATCACCATGATGAGCATTAGATCTCTCATTCTTTCATGCCTCCTCATTGGAGCTGTCCATGCGTATGTCCAGCCTCTCACTCACATACTGAGCCCTCAACTAACTCACCTCAACAGAAAGGACTCCAAGGATCTCAGCAAGCACAACTGCTGTCTCCACATCAAAGACGCCAGCGACGCTTGGTGGATGACAAATCCCGACGTCACCAAAGATGTTTGCACGAAATATTACAAGGATGTCGTGAGTATATCCCCATATCTACTCATGACCATAACTGAAACAGTTTCTAGGCGCAATTTGACAACAAGACGGGGACGTGTAACGAGCGCAAGAATGGTACTATCAAGGATGCGGACTGGAAGAGCAAGTGCAAGGCTTATGGAACTTGGCTGGGCTGGGCTGATGATCGGGTTGGTGCTGGGCACAACGCAACGTGTTATCCGATAGACGCATGAGGTCTAGGCGTGCTCATTATCTGGTCTGGATATGCCCGGTCGAGAACGTCAGTCTATGTCGCGGGAAATCGAGTAGTTGATAATACTGATAATCTCACGACTTTTTAGGTTGAGGCCCAACCACGAGGAAACCAACCATCGGCGATAGTGTTGTGCGGGAAAGACTAGTGATGTATTGCGTGCTCTCTTGTTGGAATGGTTAGCTTAAGATATTGACTAGGCTGCCATGCCGGGTTCAGGTCTTTGAACATTCAGAGTTTATTTTATTGATATTGCCTAAATTCGTCCTGTTTTGGATGCAGCAAAAGGCTCAGATGGGACGTTGATCGATGGCTTGTTTCGCAGTCGCCCAACAGCACAAATTACAATATCTCATTATCAATCGGACTCTAGCTGCCTCCTATCTAAACCAGCAGTCTAACAGTCTTGATTGGCAGACACACCGTATCGATCATAACCGACGTTTGTAGGCTCAGCTGACTTGTTCGTGGCGTCAACCTTAAACGTGTTTGGCCGCATGATGAGAACAAACATCGCCAGAACTCCACCAAACCCCAAGACACAAACAATGTATTAGAATAAGAATTAAAATCGCTTAATATTATGTTTCAAGAATTAAAAACTAGAGTATTGCCTATTAGATCCATCGCGCCAACATCACTGATCCCAAAACCCAGGTTATCAACCCTCCAAAACTCGCACCAACACTCCTCCCACTCAACAGACTGCTCGCCGTATTATTCCCCCAAAGCCACGTCACTACCCCAGCACCATCTTCTTGATCAATACTGCACACCATTCTACAAACATCCTCATCCCCTCTCTTCCTCAAAAACCTCCCTTTCGGGCCAGCGTCATCCCGCTTGTGCTTAGCAGATGCATCACTGGTGTTGTACAAGAGTTGAAGCCACTGCATCTCCATGTACGCTTCTTCGCCCGTCGTCATGTTCTGGGTCCAGACGCCGCCGTCGCCCCATGTGTTGAATATCATAAGAGATGGATCGCGGGGTACTTGGAAGGAAATGTTGGCGACTTGTTTGCCGTTGGCGTACCAGATTGATTGGCTTGGTGTCCAGTCCAGACGATGTTCTACCCACTTATTCCATTTGAGATCATCGGGGAGGGTTGTGTTGCGCGTTGCCTTGGGATACACTTCGCCTTCAATGCTGTAACCTGGATGATTCGTGTAGTGAACCCGATCGTAGTCTTCACGGGTCAGAATCTCCATGTCGGCTTCTTGCACGTTCTTGATCTCGTCGGCAGGGACGTATGTGAACATGGCCATACAAGCGCCGGGTGCACCTCTCACGCGACCGAGGAATCTGATAGAGAGAAATTGGAAGCGATCAATTGAGTCGAACTCAGATGCGACTTGAAAATCTTGCTGTCGGTTCGTTCGCATGGAAAGATATGTTTCCGACGCTGGGTTCTTGTCTGGGTTGGTCCGGATGTAAATGTTGTTTGCAGAATTGACCATGGGGAACCCCGCGCCATAAGCAAGAGTGTCGTGACTTCTTCGGTTGCTCCAGCTTTGGATAGCCCAAAAGTCCTTCCATTCCTTTTTCTTGAAGTATTTGCTCGTGATGTCTGCTTCAGCGGATGCATTCTCTCCCGCGATCGTGTCCGGAATTCGAGCGTAGTCTCCGAGGTTTCTAAAGTCCCAAAACCGATGCTGAGTGTAGTATTCTGGTTCAATGCCGTCTGTCAGGTAGCAATCGCACTGATTGGCCTCCCAGTCTTGGGGCTTTGTCTCTGTCCCGTTATCTTGAGCCCTCGTCACTGCGATGAGCACCAAGACCAGGAGGTTTCGTGAAATCCTCATTTTTGTTGATGATCGCCGTGCATGAAATGCAACATTGGCAACGGATGCATTAAGCTTAAGAATAGATTAAGGCTGCATCAGGCGGTCGGGTCTAACGTTGGCCTGAGCTGGGCAATGCAGGAATCAATAGCGTCGTCTCTAGCACCAAATCACTGCGCCTGGCGAGCCATGATGGTCGATTAATTATGCCATTTTGGGAACGGCTCAGTAGCGAGCGTGAAAGTGCGCAACGGAACGTGCAGGGAAGGCCAAGAAAGTTCATTTGTTCTTGGCGATAATTGGTGCTAAGAGGGAAACTTGCATGCTAACGCCACCAACAACCGTCACAAGGCTGGTGGTCGGCGATTTAAGGAGATGCCATTCAAATTCCTGGAAAATTGTCTTGGATTCCATGTATGTAAAGTGAAACATGTTGCACGTGTGAGTGGATTGAGTTAAGCTTGTTTTTAAGACATTCAATGGTCTAAACGGTGATATTTAGTGACGTGTTCTCCTAAACCCACTTAGAATCCAAATAGATCTTGGCTAGTTTGGAATCATTGTCACCAGTTCAACCAACGATGTGTAGCACAGGACACATATAACATCGCGTTCTCATCACCATTCTTTCCTAAACCTTAATTCAACTGTTATACTACCTAGTAATAGTTTCTATCACTTATTGAAGTGGGTAATTAGCTTGCTATCCTGTCTGCTTAATTGTTAATTGTAATTCACGTCGCTTACCCTGAACGCCGGGGAAAAACGTCGTTATCTTATCATGTGCCTATCTCATACAGTATCTCCCAAATACAGCTAGCTCGGTTCCCTCTTGACTTCAGACCAGCTTAAAATTAGCGGGAAGGCCAACATCACCAAAAATGACATGTAAAAAAATTACCATCTACATCCGTTGCCTCACGGAGAGCGGCTCATTATGCCACGCTAAAGCTCACAATCCAACAGATCATATTTCTCACCAAGCTTAGCGAAATGGAGTTTCGCATTGCCATATTTAGCTCGAGACGCGGCATGATACGACAGATTACTCGCAATTTGAATGTGAGAATAGGAGGCTCAATGGGTCAAGAGCGGACTGTGAGGTGCCCTCTAGGTGAATGATGGCCAGGAGAAGATGGATTGCGTCAAGTGATCAACTCAATTGAAGATGCATGTTAAATGTAATGAGAAGGATGTCGAGATGTCTATTACTCTAAGCTATTATCTTGCGACATGATGAAACTAATAAACCCACTTTTTTACCAGCCAACGAAGGTATCGTACAAAGTCCTCAATCACTTGCACCAGCTCTCAACGCGAACGCCCTCCAATTCTGCTAGCAGAGAAAAGTCCATGTTGTGCTGTTTCATAGCCACGACAATGAGGTCAAATGACTCCAAGAAGTCCTTGTACCAGTTACACTCATCAAGACGGGGAACCTGAGGCACAGCTTCCTGCTTGACCAGAGCATCAGCCCAAGTGAGGTCAATCTGAGCACCCGAAACAGCCAAATTTCGAACAAGCGCGACACCAGGTGAATTGTCAAGCTGAGACTGGCCCGGCTTGAAACCAAGACCCACGACGAGCACACGTGAGCGACGATCGGTAGCGGGCAGTGAGTCGATGAGACGTTGGGCAAGCTTGGCCGGTCTGTCACTCATGGCTGATGAACAGGCTTCGAGCAGCGGGAACGAACTGTTGGAAAGGAGATAGTAGGGGTTGACGGGGATGCAGTGTCCGCCGACACCGACACCGGGTGCATAGGGCATGTAGCCAAATGGCTTGGTAGATGCTGCAGAACAGACCTCGTAGGGATCGATACCGTGAGGGATACACGCATCGGCCATTTCATTGGCGTACGCGATGCAGACCATCCGTTGACAGTTCTCGTACAGCTTCATCATCTCAGCGACTTCAGGTTTAGAGACGGTGACGACATTATCGAAAATGGTGGAGTATATACGGTCGATGGCATCGAGGGAGCCGGGGAGGATGTCTTCAAGACCTGATATGATCTTGGGGATCGATTTGACAGGTGGATCGGTACGGCCTGGGTCAACGCGCTGTAATTGTGATTTAGTAAGACTTATGATGATGAGCGGCAACTGATGAATGAAGCTGTCACATACCTCTGGAGACATGCCAGCAAAAAGACCAAGCTTCTTGGCGATAGGTCCGACCAACTCACGGGTCATACCAACGGCAACAGAGCTCTCAATCACAATAGTCGAGCCCCGACGAGCAATCTGACCAACCATCTTGAGAGCATCACAAAGATACGAAGAATCGATGGACTTGTCAGGTCGCAACAGTGTAGGCACCGAGATGAGAAAGTGCGTAGCAGCGATAAGATCGTTCTGAGTTCGTGAGAAGGTAACGTTCTCATTGAGCTTGAACTCCTGTCGCAGATCTTGAATGCGCCTCTCGGAAACATCAAAGCCGATGACTTGATACTTGGAAGAAAAAGAGCTGACGAGATGTTTTCCGACATAGCCGACTCCGACGACTGCTACTACGGGGATATCGTGGGGAGCGACATCAGTACAGACTTTGAGGGTGAGGTCTGTCTCTGAGGGGGCGGAGCTGAGGGGAGGAGTAATTGGGTAGAAGCGGAATGTAGAGGGTGAGTCTGAAGGAGTCAACATGCCAGCGAAGTCCTCCATGTTGACAATTACTTGAAATATTGATGGGAAGAATATGAAAGCAGGAGACAATGCGAAGTTGAGCGAGGGATTTCGAATGGGAAAGATTCAACGGTGCTCGACCCTCTCATACAACGAGAGTTCAACCCCAACCTCTTAAATGTCCTTCTCCAAGCTCCAGACCAGCACTTGAGAAAGCTTCAGCCATCATAACAATACTGAAGTATGCATACCATTAGGGCATGTGAAAAATAATCCCTCCAGGCCTTCTGGACTCTATTCCTGCAAACACCTCGCACAGCAGCGCCACTAAGCCAGAAGAGCTTCGACCCAGCTGAACGGTTCCACCAAGGCTGTGATCCTGGCTCAGAGTTAGTGGAAATAGCAGGAGGTGTGGATTCAAGGAATTCAGTTAAGCCTCGTTTCTTCTGTAGCCATTTCATCGCGAGCCGTGATGTTGAATAGCAGTATCTCGTTGGCGGACTGATCCTTGAGGCATGTTGACATATTCTCACGCTAAAGTCGGTACAAGGATCAACGAAGAAGCTTTATGTTGGGCAACCATGCAGGGCTGTGAGATGTTCTGAATATTTGGAGACCAGTAAGCGAAAGAGAGAAGTGATAGGGACTATTGATTCAACCAAGCCAACGAGAGCCTAAATCGCCTCCTCTAAAACCTGACGACTAATTTCTAGGCTCTAGAACGATCCACAGGATAATCCCAAGACATGATTGATCTTTTCTTTACCAGGTCACCCTTCATATCAATCCATTTCGCTTGTGGTCGGAAGCTGAGTACAGTATCCGATGGCTCGGAACCAGCTATTGATTCCGGTATCCTCCCGTGAGCAAATCACAGGCCAGGGGGATGCCAGCCCGTGCTGGAAAAAGGAATATGGCTCTGTCGGAACTTTTGCAGCAGCGTATAAAAAGCAAAGCATGCCGGCAATGCAGCATGAATCTCCCCACATTTAGCTCCAGCTGAATTGAAAAGACCGGAGAATAATATTATAAAAAAGAAAAGCGACATGAATTCATTTCCTGTGAATTGGGTTATCGCCATGCTGTGTAACGGGAATGCGGGACCATATGAGACACGGCACGACTTCCTGGTTTTGGTTGGTGTTGAGATCAGCCTCAAAAGCAAGACTAGCGTTGGCTAGAGGAAGAGGTTAAGACGGGTTGACATGGATGAGGCACATTAACCACCGCATTATTCCCATTAGTGGCGAAATGAGGCTGAAGGGCAACCTGATTGCTGTGGTTGCGTAATTGAAGCGCCGTGTTGCTGGGGAGTAACAAATGCGACTGGGTCTCAATACTCACTGCGAAACGGCAAGTTCAGTACGATATGTTATTCTCCCATTGAGACTCAGACTTCCCACTCTCCTCCCATTTCAACCATTTGGGCGCGGATGCCAAGAGGTTAAGCTTATTGATCCGCGTGGCACTACGCCCGTATTCATGCATCAAGGCGCTTTGGTGCCTGGATAAATTACAAGGGTGAGCCAAATATGCAGTTAAAAGGGTTGGAAGATGTTTTGATCGCTGGCTAGATTCTTGATATGTCTTAGTGGAGTAGACTATTGATTCAGATCTACGGGTCGCTGCGTCCATATTAATCCAGCCGTGTTGAGTTAAGTGACTTGTCAGATCCCGGAACCTGTTTGGGAGAAAAAGCAACCTCAATAAAGCCCCGATGATTGATGATTGCCTCCCGCTCAGTCGCAATGTTATGCTAATTGCCGAGAAGGAGATTTCTTTGGGATCACTTCGAACAGTTTTATCCTGGCGAAGAAGCAAAATTGCGATCTGTAGCTCTGTGTGGTTTTGACTGGCAGAACGTGACTGCATCTCGTTGGGTAATGCCAACTCACATATGACCGGGGTAAGCGATCAATAACAGGGGGCTTACCGCCTGGGACATTCCGTTCAGTTGATCTGCCATCCACCAGCGCAATAAGGCTGAACCATGTCCACGCTAACAGTCTCGACCAGTCTTTCTATCTGTCTTATCCTTGAACCGAGAGTCAACCCAATATTTATGCATATCCTCTCCCCAAGATCCCTGTTGAGCTTCCAAAAGGAAAACAGTCGTCTTCTTTTGGCGGCCATGACACCACGGTCCTCACTTCAACCTCCGGGACTACACGGACACCTCGTTTACTGAAGGCTGCTTTTGACGCAGTTTTCATTTGAGCCTCAGCTGGCTCACTTCAATCCACTAGGCTAAAATCAGTAGTCTGCTTGCCAAGAAGAAAAGCACATCGTTGGTAGGGGTTTCGCTAGGATGTCGCAACCAAGTGATCGGGCTCCCAGCACCAGGGACACCAAACTGACGGTCGAGCCCTCAGCTAGCCATACCGATCCAATTTAGATATGTCTAGAATTCTTAGTTAGCGAGACTATTGCTTCCCTGCATAGTGAGGCAAAGGTAAGTTGTCTGCCACAAGTCTTAATTGCAAATGACATATTTTGCTCATATTTTGCACATTATACCAGAGGATAAAAGCCTTGGCTTGAGGAGGAAGCTTGTGTTATTTAGTTTGCAACTTCAACCGGTAACTACAATCCTCTCTCTTCATCCTTGAATTATCGCTGAGGCACCGCTCTTTACCTCATACCACCTTGCCACTCGTTTCTTGGTGTTTCACGACATTCCAGCGTCCTCTTCTAGCCCAATCTCTTCTCTTCTTTTGCACACCGTCTTTGGTGTAACGATGGCATCTCTCACCACTAATCCCCCACGTTCCATCCTCATTGGCAAGCAAAAGGTTCGTCACCGTTACACTGCCTCTTCCTCCTCTTTAACTGACATCTTCTGAAACAGGATCAAGTCCATGCCAATGCCCGAATCGTCCACGGCAAAGCCCGCTCCAACGGTTCAGATGTCTCAGACACTGAATATCCCGTCGTGCCTATTCCCGCATACCTCACCGACGAAGCTTCATCGAATGACAGCTATCGCGCTTCACAGCCTTCGTCTCTGAGATCATGGATCCCAGAGTCTGTCGGTACACCTGACACCCAGAGAACTTCGGTGGTCAGTCGCCCTGGCTCAAAGGGCACCGATCTCATCGCTCCTATTCCTCGTCTTCCTGTCTCGATCAGCAATAACACTTCTGTTGGCTCTCGCTCTGATGCTGGACACTCGTCTACTCCTTCCCTGGATAATGAGATCACGCCTGTTCCTCAACCCTCGGCCGAGCGCGCTGGCGGTCCTGTGTCCAAGAGCGACGGTGCTGAACAGGCTAAGCCCAAGGTTGAGACTGTCACTGAGGATGACGTCGGCAATGCTGTCTTGTTGAAGCGCGGTAAGAGAAAGGTTACGACTCAGAAATACGTCCTTACAGCTGGTCTGGTCGCAGTCAAGTAAGTCCATCACTCCATCCCATCCCATCGCGCTAATCCTGACTCGCCTTTCAGCTTCATGTTCATCTTTGCGAGTTGGTACTGGCCCCGGTACTACTACATCTACCTCCCCTTCATCTCCTTCCCCCTCGTCCTCAACTGCATCATGATCGCTTCCATCGCCGTCTTCACCTTCATCCACTGGGTCAGTCCCGAGAAGCAAATCAAGCCCTCCACCCCCGAAAACATGGTTTACGTTATCCCCTGCTACAACGAGACACTCGAAGAGTGCACCCGCTCTCTCGACTCCCTCGTCAACCAGACCGGTCTTGAGAACCACAAGAAAGGCATCATGGTCATCTGCGACGGCCGTGTTCGTGGTCCCGGTATGACAAAGACTACCGGGGATTACCTCAACGAGGATATCTTCCTTCATCAGACACAGAGGAAGAAGATTCGTGGCGCTTACACTGCTTGGGACGGTCAACAGATGGATATCGAGATCTCCAAGGGCTTTTACAAGGGATTGCCTTTCTACTGTATCGTCAAGGACCAGAACCAAGGCAAGCGCGACAGTCTCATTGTCATTCGATCGTTCCTCTACAAGTTCAACACCCGTGCCCAGAACCCTCAGTCCATCTTCTCGCGCGAGTTCCTCGACTCCATGACTAGCTGGCTTGAGAACGAGGTCAAGATGGACAGCGTCGATCATCTCATTGGGATGGATGCCGATACCGTCTTTGAGGACAAGTGTGTCACCGAACTTCTCAAGGAGTCGTACTATCCCAACACTGTCGGTGTCTGCGGTTACGTCGCGGTTGACTTTAAGGATGGTAACTGGAACCTCTGGTCCATGTACCAATCTGCCGAGTACACTATTGCCCAAGGTCTTCGTCGTCTTCATCAGTCTATCGCCACCAAGAAGGTCTCTTGTCTTCCCGGCTGCTGCCAACTCCTCAAGATCTGCGATGAAACCTGTGGCGACCTCGTTCTCATCGACCTCTTCGGTTACTTTCCCAAGCACATGGACGGTATGCTCAAGCGCATTCGCGCTACAGCCTCAGAGGATCGCAACCACATTTGCCAGTTGCTCGTCACTTTCCCTCATGCTCAGACACGCCAGGCTCTTCATGCCCGCGCTTACACTGACGTCCCTCACTCTTGGAACGTCTTCCTCTCTCAGCGTCGTCGATGGACGCTTGGTGCCACTAGCAACGACCTTCTCCTCTTCTGCGCTTGGAACACTCAATGGTGGGAGCGCATTGTCGCATTCTCTAATGTTCTCACCTGGTCTCTCAACGTGTTCGTCATTGCGTCAATCGGTTGTATGATTGTCGCCTTCATGAGTCAACCTTGGTGGCTAATCATGTGTTTCGCTGGTGTCATGATCATCCCTCTTCTTTACTATGCCATCATGGCCACTTGGCTGCCTCGAAACCTTGTTGAACGCGCCCAGTTCCTGCTTGGTCTTGCTGTCTTTGTCTTCTTGGGTCCCTTTCTCAATATTGCTGTTATGCTCTACGCTGTTGTCAACATGGACAATTTCGGTTGGGGTAAGACAAGAAAGGTTGTCACTGATGATTCTGAGGAGAAGGCATCACAGAAGGAGGGTGTTTACTCCGACAGTAGCTTGACTGAGCCTAAAGAGAAAGCTGGTACGGGAGTGTAGGATTTGAGTTGCACAATGGGTTGGGTATCGAAAGGCGACTAGACATTACATAGCAAGAACATACATTAGACAAACATAATTAATTGTAATACATATCCTGATTGCTTTCTCAGTTGACACAAAGTGACGAGCCTTTTCTTTTCTTGCCCCTCCCTCGGGCCGAACTGGCAGAGGCTGCTGCTGAAAGGCCTCTCTACCTTAGCGCTATCACGGGCCTTGGCGTACTGTATGTCCAAGGCGCTTTGTACATCATTTGCGCTATTCAGTTAGAGTCATGTCAGCTTACTCAGAGCTAGTATTGGGTCATCGCCCTGTTTTCGAAAGAGGAGATATTATATCTAGGAGAACTTCCCCAGCTGATTATATCCTCAAAGCTACCGTGAAAGATACTTTACCATCGCAAACACTATCTGCTTCTGCATTTGATCCTACAGATTGCACTTCACGGATTGAATTTGAACCTTTTGCTCCGTCGTTGACAATATAAACATCCCTTAACGCGACACAATGGCCAGCAAAACCTTTCGGCAGATCATATGGCTTGTGGTTTCAATTATCCTACTGTCATACCTCTTTGGACTCCTTCTACCAACCAAGCTGCTCCGTCTATTACCAGTCATCTCATCGATAGTTAGCCTACAATTCGCTTACGACGAGTATGCCTTCCTCTCCTGCTGGACGATACGTCAATACCGAGTGCAGGCAAATGAGCTACTACGGCTTTGGTTCACCAACTGGGGACCATGGGGAACCAAAGTTGTCTTTGCCAGCTTTACTCTCAGTTTGGCAAGCGGAATCGCGAATACCGTTACGTCTTGGAATGGCAATGGGGCACGAAGTCTCGTTTTCTTTTACTTTGCCGGAACTCTACTTGCGGCTGGGCATCTCCTGATCTTTGGTCCCAAGGCAATTGACTTGCTGGCCAGAATTCGCCGTAATGATGCTAGTGCTTCAAGCATGGCATCGCTAGAACTGTGGTTAGAGATGCACCTCACGAGGTCTTTGGTGTTGGACTTGCCAGCCGTCGGCTGCTTCATCACCGGTTTACTTCTCGCCACGGAGAGCGTTATATAAGATTTGCAAAACATGCGTGTTTCACAGGCTAATCACAGGTTGGAGAATATGACGGTTGCTACCGTAGCGATACATGTGTTGGATGCAATAAGTTTAAACTTATCTAGTGGGCGAGGCCAAGTTCCGAATGGTTCTGACAGAGATCCTATATTCGTCTTAGAGTTTGTCTTGCAAATAAACCTTTCACCATTTTTATAAAGGCCTCTCACCCCTAAGTAAAAGGGAGCCTCGCTGATCAAGTATGATAACGAGAACAAAACGGGCCACATTTATCATCGGCCAGCTTCCTGTTCGATGGCTCCTCAGTTGTCAGCGAAGCTGGTGGCAAGAGTAGGGACTGTGCTGGTGAAAAATGTAGAATGAGGCTCAGTGGCCAGCTGTTCCTCCGGGATGGGTATCTCACGCCAGTAACAGGCAACCTCTTTCCAAGTCGTCTTCCAGCAATCCGTTCCGTCACTGCCACAACCGACCTTATTCTCAGAGTCTTGAACAAGGCATCGCTTGTTGGCTTGTCCCGAGAACCTAAAGTGGCCGCGTCGGTTGCCCCAGTCCATACAGAACTCTGTCATAGCAGGTACTGAAGTTCCTCTGCATCCTTCGTTGGCATTGACACGATAGGCACCAAAGTCGGTATAGAAGATGCCATCATCACTGTGACAACTGCCAGCTGCGCAATTCGTAAAGACCTCCATACGGTCTGCCGAGACAGTCAAAGCCATTGCCGCGATAATTGCAGTGAGATCGAAGCGCATTTTGATTCTGGGGCTTGGTGCTGAGTGGAGTTGATAAGAAAGAGATGGCCTGAGCTCAGTAAGGACCAGTAAAGTCTGAAGGGAAATGAAAACTTGAAGTGGTTGTGAAAGCTTGTTCCATGGTGAAGAAAGACGAGATCCCTCAGTATTTATAGCTAAAATTCGCATAGTTGACTCCGACTATTCAAAGCAGCTGTTCGAACCGCCTTCCACATATGGCTAAGGACAATTCTCGTATATTGAGTTTCTTATTTACTACTCCAGATTCAGAAAGCAGACCATGCCGGCAGTTACAAGAGGCTAAGCGCTTTGGACATCTCCAAATTATCATAGGTTGTCTCACCGACATGATACGAGGAGGAATCTAGAATATGAAAACCTAGCAATAGTTCTTCTGTGCCTCACGGGCGCATGCAATCCTTATATATAAGCCTCCATTCGGTGACGCTGTGATTAGCTGCCTAAAACTTAACCTTGAAGTCAAAATCTTTCTTTTAACGCCCATCTTATCACTGAGAGTGTTGATCGGTTAGATAGAGGAGACGTCCAATTTTAATACATAATACCTTGCTTCTAGAGGCTAGGAACGGAGGTACGGGATAACTTATAGTCGGCCCAGGGTATGAGTAGCAGGGTCACATTTATAGAATCCACAATTCGTACTATTATAAGCGGTTTAGTTCCAACACGATGTTTCCAGGCTATTCTGGCGGCTAAGGTATTTGAGACCGTGGAGCAATGCAATTGGATGTTTTACGGAACGGCGACTGGTTTTACTGCTATACGCAGGCTTTGAACGTGGCGTCCAGAAGCTTTAGATTCTGCAGAGCTCACCTTCTTAAATTCCGGATGTTCCTTTTAGGTTATGGCACAAGGAGTAATAATCCATGATCTATGGGGATGACTGCCGCCTACAAGGCTAAGCTTTAGTTGTTTTTACAAGAATGCCTCACCTCTGACCTTTCCCGGCGAATGCCTTGGTGGACTGGGTATGCCAATGGGCATCGCTGCATTTCTCAGAATGGTGACCGAGTACCCTTAATAATCTTACACATTGTTTTTAAACATTTCACTCAACTTCAATTTCAGGCCGTCTGGAGACAGGGCCGAGATAGTCAACCAAAGGAGGATCAGAATGGCAGGAACAGGGAAGGACTAACAAGGCAACACAAGACAAAGGGGTAGTGGAGGGCCACGTGGTAGTAATTATTTGTGTTGACAGTTTTCAGCTCTATATTAACGGCAATGATCGACTACAGAATGGGATAGGCACGGAAGACAAACAGGTCAAGGGACAAAGGAGGTACTAACAACGACGGACAATAGCGGCCGCTTCTTAAAAACAAGTCTAAAATCCTTATAGGCATAGTTTTTTTCTTATTAGCAAGAAAAATGTTAAGAGGGATATATATATATTAACTATGGCTAACTAAGGTCTTAGGCCAGGAGGTCTAGCTAATATATAAGGTAAGTGCCTTAGGCACCTTTAATACTACCCCTTAGCCA